CCTCTGGACCACCGACGTCGTTGCAATTAGTAAGTCGGATATCTTCCTCTCCAACTCTTTCCCTTTCTCTCTCTCTCTCTCTCTCTCTCTCTCTCTCTCTCTCTCTTTTCCTGTCTTTCTTATTCTATCTGCTCCCCTCTCTCTCTCTCTCTCTCTCTTTCACGTTCTATCCTACTTCTTCTTGCTTTTCTATTTTCCCTAAATAGAGAGGTAGTTTTTGGGCAATTCTAAAAATTAAACTGGACAGACTTAGTAGAGAGTCTAGCGAAAGAAAGGGTACTTTACTTTCTTTTTTTCAGAAATTGATTTATTAAATCCCAATCACGCCACGTTAAATAAAGAAAAATCAAAGAACGTTTTCATATTAGTATCTTTCTTCAACGTATTGATATTCATATAATTAATAAATTATATTTATTCGAAAAAAATTGTTTGTATACTGAGTGTAACGCAAACAATGCTATATAATATCAAAATTGAAAAAATATACTTGACGTTGACCTTGATTTGATTTGCTGAAATTAAATTAGAGCACAAGACATTAAAGAGGGACCGGGTTAATTGGCATTGATAAAACCGATATTTAAACCCTTTCATTCTTTTTACGTGCACTGATTGCACGCTGCATTTATGCGATTATATGAATACTCGATTTAAAAAACACAAATACTTCAAACCAAGTTAAAAAAATCCAAGTGTAATATAGAAGAAATTAAAGTGCATGCAAATAATTAAAATTATCACTCTGGCGTGCATCGATTTGAAAAAGCGTCATTATCAAGTGCGTTAATAACTCTCAATATGTTCCGATCGCTTTGAATAACATTGCTGAATCGGTTCTACCATCTACCATCGGTAGAATCTACCGATCTGAATAACCGAATGCACGTCAGTGTCGTTCGGATGTCTTCTTCTTCTTGTTTCTCTTTTTCTCGACGAACCTCATCGCGAAAAGAACGAGAATCGCGAGGTTGTTCCCGCGATTTTTACGCTTTCACGATGATGCGCCTGGGCTTATGCGACACGACATGCATCCGGGTATCGACGACAACCGGAGGCGGTTCCACAGGCGGTTATAGGAGTGCGCGCGCGCGCGCTGACTCAACCGCGCTATCTCGCTCCCGCACTCATTAAGCCGATACACCGGGCGTCGGCGAAGATCAAAGCCCGTCTCCTACGGAGGACCGCTTAATACCGGGTGGCGAGTTAAGAGTGTCATAAAAATTATTAACGGTTCCTCAGCGCGCGCGTTCCCTTATCGCCGATCGACGGCGTGACCGCGGGGTGCATCCGTCAAAGGAGACAATGCGCAAAGATCTCTCTCTCTCTCTCTCTCTCTCTCTTTCGTTTCTCCTCCTCTTACCCCTCTCTCTCTTTTTATTCCCGTCTTACCGGGCATGTGGAGCATTCTGTACTTTTTCTTTTTTCTTTTATTGAGAGCCTCGCAACAACCGCGCGTGAATGAAATCCCTCGAATGTGGAAGGACATTGACGTCGACGTAAGACGATAAACGCGATAATTTTAAGAATGTTTCAATTAAAATAAGCTATATATGATCAACGAAAACGTTTTAATGTCTTATTTTCATTCCTATAAAGCGAAAAGTTTTTAGGCATAAAGCTTACACAAATAATGTTACATAGATAGAATGTATAGGTCCTATAATATTTGTACAAATAATTCTCCTAAAAATTCATGGTTTTACAATACTATTAATTATATTTTAAAACATTATTTCGTAATACAAACCAAATTTTCTTTCGCCCAGCGTTCTCCTAATATGCACAGGAGAACGGTTGCCTAATGAAGTTACATCGTTATGTAGATATTATGACGACAGTTTAATACGCTAATCGTGGCATTCGTTTGCGGCGCGCGGTTTAATGAGCGGCGTCGGAAACAGCCGGCCTTTACTCCCACACATTTATATATTGGAGAAAATGTTGTATATAAATATGTGTGTGTATCTTGATGTGCAGCACTAAATAGTTACATAGCTGTGTGGCAATTACGTGGTTTCAAGTAGTCTAAATCAAAAAGAGAGAGAGAGAGAGAGAGAAAATCATAATTAAAAAAAAAACGAGAAAAGAAATTCAGATAAACATTTAGGCTTTTTTTATGTATCCTAAACCATTAAAAGTGAATAAGTTATATATTTCGTCTCTCGTCCTTCGCGAATTATATTCATTTCTGTATGTTGCAGTTACATAATTTATTAAAGCGTATATGATTAATTAATTAGATATAAATGCAATTAGTAAAATTATTAGAAGTGTTTCGAACTAATCGACAAACAATTTAATGCAATTTTTTCGCTAAACGCTGGCGATCAGTAGCGTTTATAAAACAGCGAAAGCCGTGTAGGCGATATTTATCGCTAAAGTGGTCTTCCAAATTGCAGTTCCGTTCGCCTCACATGATGATTCGCGCGCACGGCATTATTCGAATTGGAGAATCGGACGACCACGTTCAGCCGGTTCAGCGGTGAATGTGGGTTATGAATATTAATTCGATTCCTCAGCGGTGCCGCGGCACTGGCTCATCGGTGATTCTCTCTCCTCAAATGAGTATGCAGGTAAACAAACAAATGCACGGCACGCGCATAAACGGAGCGAAGGACCAACGTGGAAGGTAGGACGCGGAGAGACGGCGGGGGGGAGACCGGCACACAGTGGTGCCTGAAAGGGATTTTACGGACCGAACATTCTGGTTTGTACTTTGTTGCAGAAAATTGGTTTAAGTAAGATATATTGGCGAAAACCCATTGGTCGACAGCTCGTCCTTTTCTGCCCCCGAATCTCAGTAGGAGACTCTATTATTTTGTGACGAACAAGGATACCTTTGGCCAAAGGAAAAAAAATCAGCATGTGCGCCTACTTTGTTTGAGACATCAGAAAGAAAAAAAAAGGGCGCTCATGCCCTTTATTCCAGTCGATTTTTACGCACCTGTATACAAATAGAACTTACGAGGAAACAAAACATATAAATTTTCCTCCAACCTTTTGTATTTTATACCGCATATAAGTCACAGTGGTACCGGAGAAAAATGTTGCAAAGGAAAGACATTTCGACCGCTAATCACTCCTGAGAATATTTCCAACTCGAGCCATTTAAAAATCTCTCGGTTTTCTCACACACATATACACACACATCGTTATAGCCGCAGATAGATCGGGACGAATGCCAAACTGTCAAAATTGTTATTTTAACTATCTGTAAAATCGTTTCTCGTTTGCACCCGTCTGGATAAATAAAGAGCTGACACATATCGTCGCGTTAAAATTAGAGACTGCGTAAAACGAGAAAAATTTAACGATTTTTCTAGCCCGGCCTGCAAGATCAGTTTCCCGTTTCGCGTAGGCCAAGTTGTTATTGCAACGTTCAAATTAACGCTTTCGAAGCATATCGATTTGTCGGAGCATGCGAAAAAGATTTTCCGATGGATATACTCCGGAGGAGGAATACTCCGCCGTGTCGATAATCGCCTCGAGGATGTTTCTCATCGCCGGCCGGCGAATTGAAATTACGCGCGAGAGCGTGTTTGGATATATTTTCTAGATATAAAAATTTGGGAAAAAATTCAGGGGTTTCATCTACCTAGGCACCACTGCGCGCCGCGCCGCGCGGCGCGCAGCTGTGTGCATCATCGTGTGTGTCGCGCGTCTCTCGGTGTGGGTAATGTTTTTGCTCCAGGGAAAATGGGAACGCGTGTGTGGTCTAGAGTCGACTCCCCTCGCTAGTCCCCGAGTATCCTAGCAACGTGAAACGCCAAGGCGCCTCCGCCAATCGTCTCCGAGTCCCCAGCGCTTCGGCCCTCCTCGGCTTCGCTCGGCTCTGACGTCACTTCTGCGCGCAGTAGCGCATCGATCGAGGGCGGATCCGTCCGATCCCCGATCGATCAATCGAACACAACCGTGACACGCTAATTAACAGGATGTAATAACGAATTTTTTAATTTACTGGCTCTGATCGACGATTGGTCGATCGATATGAAAGTCGATATAGTTTTCCACGTTTTTTGTAACTTTTGCTTTAAGTCTCGAATTATTTAACCATTACATTTCATTTTTTCTTTATTTCTATTTAAAAATAGAAAATATACCAATATTTTTAACTATTGTTACTTATCTTAAGTTATAATAATATTGGATGCATCAAAATATATATAAATACAGATAATGACTCCAACTATCATATAATTCTAAATGTTAACAGCTTCTCAATAGTTTCATAATTATTCTATCAACAATGTTTATACCAGCTCATTATAAAGATAAAGCAATACAAATATAATACGAAAACTTATAATAAATCACTATCATAAATAAAAAAAAAATTGATTTTTCAGTTGTAAAAGATAAATCTTAGAATTGTCACTTACATTAAGTTTAAAAAATACTTATTCCTAAATTAATTAATAAGTAAACTATTGAAAATCTTCAAGTCCGTGAACAGATACGGGAAAATATACTTTGCGGCAAGCAATATCACACATTTCAACAGATACTTACAATAGCCGAAGCGACATCACAGAATCGTTTCGATGACGACGGGGCCCGAGCGCGCGGACGCGGGGCCCACGGCTACGCACGAGCCTGAATGTTTGCGCACCCGAGCCTGCCCGAAGTCCGAGCACCGTCCGTGGCACCGAGCGCCGCGGGAGAGTGGGGAGGGGAGGCCGTCAACTATGGCCGGCGCGGCAGGCAGGCCACGAAAGAAATGTGGCAGCGCGTTTCGCTTAGTACCGACTTAGACTGCTCTAAGTGGCGGTCGCGTGAACGCCGGTGTCCGCCGTTGGACTTTCACGCAGGAGCACGCACCACCAGGACGTCCCAGAGGCCCGCGCAGAGGGCCCGTCGCAGCCTGCGAACGCGACAACGACGGTGGCGACGACGACGCCGACGCCGACGACGATCAACGAATCGGCGCTCGGTGGTGACAGTGTGGCAACGCGCGGCCGGAGCCGGGGCCCGGAGCGGGCCCAGCCGGGAACCGCGGATCTGCTCGGCGCGACGCGGCGCGACGACACGTGATACGTGATCCGTCGATCGTACGTGCGATTTAACGCGCGGGTGGAAAAAGAAGAAAATAAAAAGAGAGAGAGAGACGATCTCGCGTCGCGCGATACAATTTTCCTTTACCGCGCGGGCGCCTTCGCCTCTCGCGCCCTCGCCTGGCGTTCCGAAGCTCCGAGCTCCGCGAGAGCGAGAGGCAGCGAGAAAGGGAGTAGAGCGACAGAGAGGAACGTATTTACGTACCGCGGGTAACCTAAAAACCGATCTCGGTCCCCGGTGTAAGCGCGATACATCGGCAGGACGCGCGCGCATGCGCGCCGCGGCTCGCTGTCCTCGTGCGCGAATTTCGAGCGAGGCGCGGGGGTTCACGTGTTATCGTAACGGCGAAGCTGCGGACAGTGTCAGTGAGAGGAAGTGCTCCCGAGAAGGTGTTGCGATTATTCCGGGTAGTGAGTGCGTCGTCGGTTCGGTACGTTCGAATTCGCGGCATTCGGATAGAGCTTCGGATTAGGGCACCGTGATCCGATCTAGAACCAGATCGTCCTCGATCGATCGTCCCTTCCCCATCCTCCGGAAAGGACCGATATTGAAACGTCGACTCGTTGCCTCGAGGGTGGTCAGGATTTTTAGTGAGCCGCCACGAGAGATCGATGAGAAACTAAGAGGATTCACTGATCGTCGAAAGAGAGAGAGAGAGAGAGAGAGAGGGAGAAAGAGAGAGAGAGATAAAAAGAGTGAGCCGAGGGCAAACCGAGTTCGGAAAGTTGTAATCGCGCGTGGCGGTCGAATGCATGACGGATCATGGTTTCCGTGTCCGGACCCATATCCACGGGGATCCTAGCGGGACGCCCTTCTGGATCGCAGGGCCCGCGGCAGAATGGTGACGCGGAGAGCGAGAAGGACTCCAAGGCGGCGGAACGCGCCAGAATCCGGCACGAGTCGGATCTTTACGTCAGGCCCAGCTGGACGGACGCCGCGATAGCGTTGGATCAACTTGAAAAGGTAAAAATTCATTTCGTTGGTTTTTGCGCGTGTGAGACGTACATCCATTGTGCAGATCTACCATTGTGCAGATTAATTTTAATCTCGGTAATTCTCTACTTTAAATAATTATCTCCATTTCTACCAATGTAGATTAACTTTAATCGCGGTTTAACTTATTTTTCATCTTTTTCTAGTTTCTAAAATTAGAGAAAGATAAAAGGTAAGTTAAACCAAGATCAAAGTTAATCTGCATTGATAGAAACGGATATTAGAAAAATATTTGAAGCAAGTTAAACCGAGATTAAAGTTAATCCGCATTGGTACAAATGGGTAGATCCATGAATAAGTTACCGCTACTGAAAGTCATTTCTTCTGAAAAAAAAAAAAAACAACACTGTTAGATCTCAGCTAGCAGAAAGACTTCTAAAAGACGTCTTAAAAACGCTTAAAAGATGTCTAAAAGATGACATAATTTTTCAGATGTCCTTTAAACGTCTTTTAAGCGTTTTTAAGACGTCTTTTAGAAGTTTCTGCTAGCTGAGATATGAAAGGATGAAGTTATTTTTAAATTACCATGTGTGTCGACATTTATTGGTCATTTAAACCAATGTTAATAAAACTAAAACAATGTTAATTTAAACCAATGGAGTTAAAATAATGTTGTTTTTTATATATTTGCCTGTAAGAATGGTTAAAAATGATTCAAATTGAGTATAATTTGACGCTACGAATTTAACAGTGAATATTACCCGCGATAAATCTAATCATTTTACCTGTAGCAAATAATTAAGAGTGCATCATTTACGAATCAGTATTTATACTGTTATAAAGTTTTTTTTAAATATAAAAATTTAGTTTGTCAAATAAAACGAACCTTATTTACGAATCAATATCCAATAGTAATCAATCCAACTTACGATATATGTACAATCTGGATAACAATTTTGCATAATTGGTTTCTCGAAGATCGGAAAAGCGACGAGTTATATAAAATTAGTATCTGACAATCTTGATTAAAAGAACCGAAAAATATGTACAACGTTCGTTGAATCAGACACTTCTTGTACGGGCATTTAAATCGCCAACGATTATCGTTCGAAATCGGAAAGAAAAGAAGGCCGGGGCGCGTCCGTGCGATCGATGTACAGGAACTAAGCGTGTCCAATTAGGAGCGAATGAGCGAGCAATTTGATAAGGAAATTCGAAATCGTTGTATACGTAGTAAGTAGTAAGAAAAATCCGGCTTGGACGATTGGACTGCCGCTTATCTCCGACGTTATTTACGTGTGAAACACTACATTAACGAACGTATTTGCGTTCCTAGATACGAGGGACGGCTAATTAAGACGGTGAAAATAATTTCCCTGCTATCGGTACGCCGCGAGGAACGGGTCTATCGATTCTCGTCGTACTTAAGCCAAATAGACGTAGAATACGTAGATAATAGCGCTAGTACACAGCTATCGCATCCTTGTGGACGCGTCGAGATAGTCACGTTAGTTCAATGCAAATTATATCGACCGCTCGCGATAACGGCGCCGTTATTTCCTACCGGGCGCGGCGTCGCGCTATCTTCGATCGGCGATTAACGAGGCGCACTTTGACGATCAAAAATGCGTTTTAACGGCGGTTAGCGCTACCCGGCTCTTATCGCCGTCATCGGCGAGGCCTCGTGAGCGGTATTACCGATATGATGCAGACCGTTGCCGCCGCTATAAAATCATACTTGTCGAAAACGCCGAATCCCCCTCTCTTCATCCCGTTTGTCGTGTCTTAAACTGTTACTTACGTCGTGGAAAAATCTATATTAGTCCATTTTGGTTCAACGGGAATGGGAAGAACGTGATTTTATAGAAAGAAACGGCTTGACTGATACGGAAGAAATTGTTGAATGAAATTTTTGCATTCGAAGCTTTTTCCTCGAAAGAAATTTCAGCTGGCAGTTTCTTCTTTTGAAATTAACAAAGAAGTTGTAGAGAGGCTAACCTATTCATTTAGGATTATCTTTCTGTCTTTTTACCGTATTGTATTTGAATTGTATTTGAAAATATCGCATTTCCCGAGTACCGGAAATCACGATACCTGGTAGGACACGGCGAGTCTCTTCGGGGACCGAGCTGTAAACTTTTTACACACGCGGGTGGTCTCGAGACGCGTTTATTTTTTTTCGAAGGTATACCAGATCGAAGGGATAGACTTCCTGCCGGGGCCCGCGGGGTCCAGACGCGCCATCCCTGGCATTTCTTCTGTAACTAGAGGGATCTCTTGGGACCTGTCGCACGCGGGGCCGGCAGATCGGGCCCCGAGATCCTTCCCGCGGACGAAAATGTGCGTGGCACGTGAAGCGGACGGTCGCGCGATGCCTTTCGAGGATGTCTGTTTCGATCCGGAACGATCGCGCGTTATCGATTCGCTTTCCTTCGTCGATCGGACCTCAGACTGCTGTACGATCTTTCGCGACCGTATTGTCTCGTTTTTCGATAAACACAAGAGGGAGTATTGTCCGAGCAAACTGATAGGAAAGAATTCAATTTTGTATAATAAATTATAATTATTGCTTTATACCTCTTTGCATTTATATTTTTAAAATGCGATGAAGGTGTAGATAGCGATTCATGTACATTTTTTACACCCGTTACGCGAGATCACCGAATCTCCAAGCTTTCTTGCAATCACATCTTTAAAATTTCTGTCTGTCCGCGTCATCTTTAATTTATTAATATGTATCCACTGTGACGAAAGGACGTTACATTAAATCCACGCTGGTGCTATTTTCAATTGCGTTCGACGTATCCCGGCCGATGGTCCGAGAAACGCGCACCTATAATAAGAGGCGAAGCGAGTAGCAAGCCTCGCGAACTTTTTGCTCGTGATAGTCGCGCTGGGTGGTCGCACGAGCGATTTCCACATCGCGGATGTACCGGGTCGTCTCGTTGAAATCTCGTATTTTTCGCTCATATCCTCATCGTTGAAACCGAGACTACGGATATTGGATCGTACTTTTCAGTAACAACGATAAATTGCAAAGTTTCTAATACTCGTCCGTTACTATGGCAATCTTAAGTAGAAATCGTGACATATTCACGTATTTCTTTTCTTGAAATTAAGGAGTGCAGTAAACTTGCGAGTAATATGTTGCGAGTGAACATTGATCGAAAGATTAATTGGGATATCGTCTGAATAAAAATTGGCATATAAAAATTGGTTTAAATAATATTCTGTTCAAATTGATGCTCGTTAAATTCACAATTTTCAAGTTAACATCTCGGCCTTATACTAAATTCTAAAGTAGTTTGACTTTGTACCAAAGCCAGAGTCACTCGACGACTCGCTGTCGACTTGAACTTTAACAGCGTGCCTTCCAAATTTCGCAATGTCGTTAATTTTCGTATAAGCGAGATTTCGCGCGAAGCGTGATACAAGAGAATATCTCCGTCAGAATTTTCGGGATACCGCGTCGCGGCAATTCCGCACGATTGCACAATCATGGGACGCGCGAGAGCGCCGATCACCGGTGGAAGAGAAGTGGTGACTGGTGACAAGTCGGCGGGAGACAAAAAGACTAAAATTCGAGGTCGATGCTCCACTTTTCTTCCCGACGAGGCGGCTCGGCCGAAGAGGAGCCCTCTTCGTGCCTCGCGTTTATGCCGAATGAGTCAGTGAGTCAGTGGCCCCGGCCTCCACAAGGCGAGCGTGCGTGCGTGTGCGTGCGTCGTATGTGCGCCGTACATATGCGGCGACGCATGCATACGGGTTTGTTTCCTCCTCTTCGTCTTTTTCCCCTCCACAAAAGAAGGGAGACTGACTCTCCCCCCGGGAGGATTTATGTGCGGGATGATAATGGAACGTGATGAATTAGTTTCGTCGGTGCCGGGGAGTATCGAGGGGCTCGCGCGTGCATGTGCAAGCGTGTGGCGTGTTTCGTCGAAAATAATGCTATCAACCCAGTTTTTGACGTCCTCATCTCGTGTACCTCGCTCTCCTGAGAGTCAACTTAATTTAGAGCAATTAGGTGTCGATAAGTCGCTTCTTTAATTCGATAAAATAAATTTATATAATATTTTAATGCGGAGGAAGAAGATAGAATTATCGTAGTTGTTTATCACTTTCATTTCATTACACTGAAATGAAGCTTTTATTTTATATTACATTTATTTATATTTATTAATTTATTATATTGTCTTACTATATGCACATACATACATCAAAGTTCTTCTGTTGATCGATGTTTTAAGATGATCATGTTATTTATGAAAACGATTTTAGGGGCAAATGCGAGAATGATTATTAAGTTAGAAAAGATAAAAAAGGATTTAATTAGTCCATGATCCACTTTTGTACGTGTCATGGTTAGAACTTATAATTTATATTTTTTTGCTACTGACTGATGTAGTATATTTAAAAAACTTTATGAATATAGGACAAGCATATTATAATATCACAAACGTTCTTAAGTGTTTAGAAATAGTTAACAAGATATTCGTCATGAAGCCTATTATAAGTAAGCAGACAAAAATATTTTGCTGCTGTAATATAATATTTAATTATTAGATTATATTTGCTAATACAAAAGAAATTATTTATACGTATTTAAAATAACTTCGACAACTTCTTTTGAACTTCTTTTTCATTTTTTTCACAATACAGAAACTTTTTTACGTATGCGTGCGTACAATAGCGCTCCGAATTCGCGGGAATGTCCATTTTTCGACTCGTTTGTCAATTAAATCTGGTAATGCAGTTTCGCTTTTAACGGAACGATCCAAACGCGTCGAGCGCGCTGATCAAAATTGATTTATTCTCATTGAGAATGCAACTCGATCGCGTCGGATCAACCTTGGCCTTGCATCGCACGCACATATGTGTGCGCGCCCGCGCAGCCCGAATGTTTACAGAATACTTGGGTCCGTTATCATCACCGCGCGTCACACATGCGCGTTCGCGCGCCGGAGTTCATTTACTCCAATTTGTTTACGTTCACCAGGAACGATTCACGAGGTACTGGCTTCAACCTGCTC